CTTTCATTAAAACTTTCAGATAAGGACGAAACGAGTCAGTCCCGAAATTATCATCAATCCCATGAGAAGTATAGACCTCCTGAAAATCTAAATTTCTAGGTGAAAACAATAATTATCATACTGATTCGTTAATTAAGCTCGTTAGAGAAATTTAGCCGTGGGTACGTAGCCTTTGGCGTCGCTATAGCGCACGTGAATGTGACCCGTTTCCTTGAGGTCGTCGCCAGCGCCACTGCGAATTACAAACCGCTAATGAATAAATGCATTGAACGTGAGGGGGTGCCAAGTCGTCGACTTTTAATTACCACGATTGACTTGTTAAAACTTTACCCTCGGCGTGGTTACGCTCCTTACATTTCTGCTTAGGCGGTGCCCAAGTTTCGCGCCACGGGCTCGCTGTGACAGCCGCGAGTTTTGCCTACATAATCGTGACTCGGAGAGTTAACTTTGACGATCGACGAATAAAAAGGATATCTTTCGAAAAACCTTCATTAAAGGGTGCTCGCGGCGCCAAGGTATTCCAATTAACCGTGACGATTATCGACGCTTTTCCTCTCCCTCTCTCCTACGAGGGAGGAGCGATCGAAGGCATGAAATTTCCTCCTTTTCCTTGATTCCGCGTCCCATCGCGCTAGGGAAAAGGAGCTAACTCTCCGGGTCTATCCACTTGACACGATTACTCGTCAAAGGCTCCGCTCCTTTTCCAGCAGCTAATGGATCTCCCCGAGCGCGAGATAAGCTCGGGGAAGACGGGAGAAAAAAGAATTAAGGACTTGCGTTTAGGGTGGGGGGCAAGCAGCTTGCGCAAGCTTAGATAAACGGATTTCCACCGCTACTTCGGCTTGTCATCGCGCTGTTGTTGGCCCGCAGTAATTACGCCGTCGTTGATTTTCTCGCTGACAAAGGCCAAATAAATAACTCGGAGCTTAAAAGTTGTCGTTGGATTTAACGAGTAGACTTCTCATCTGGATTCCGGTAGGCGACAAGGTAGACGAAATATTCAAATTCTACATTGTCATATAGGAGAGCACAAGGCAAACTTATTGCACCGAGCGTTCCGTTCATCCGATCCACTCCAAATTTACAACTGTTGCGTTATTGTCCAAGTGCCGTTGGCAAGGTAATATCTCATCTCGGTCGCGAAATAGTTAACGTCGTATTATCCGACAGCTTAGCTTACACCCACCGACTCTCGTATTTCCCCCCAGGAAATCTATTCGAAAGTTATAGAACGAGAAAGGAAAGCCATCGAGAAGGATCTCTTCAATTCGAAAAAGAAAACGTCGACGTTGTATAACCTTCATTAAAGGCAAAGGGACAGCCAGCCGCGCGGACGATCGACGTCCGAAGAGCCATTAGATTTCCACGTACCGTGTGGCCAAACTGACCAAAGTGCCGCTCAAGCATTTCGGTATCCCTTTCCTCTACGTAAACCTTCCCCGAATAGTTTGACTTCTCTCCCCCTCCCCCCTATTTCTCTCTCGCGAAAACTCGGACGGCTATCTTATACCTTGGATTACTTGGGACGTCTTTTCAAGGCGAGATACTCTGGCGTGACGTGATATTTTTTTATTCTTGTCGCGTAAACTTTTGATAACGAGACTTTGAGTGTTTCGTGAGAAAAGCTGGCTCGATGCTGAAAGAGAAGTTTACTTTGAAAGGCTAATTGAAAAGTGAACAACATCGAAATTGGGTCACCGCGCTCTCCAATCAGTGGCAACGAAATTCCAATATCAATCACCGATTAAACTACATGTACAAAATCAAATTGGCGGCGCGGCTGAATTTAATAAAAAAAAATCTGCTCGAAAGACGCGCATCGATTTTCCCGGTAAATCTCTCGAGGATCCAGCCACGCGCGAAAGTCAATATATATTTGTAGATTCGAAAAATCGAGTCGTTCCGATGAATAATCCGCAGCCCGAAAACCGCAGGCGCGGAATTAATTGTAAGCGAGCTGGTGGCGTCGGAAGTGGGCAAAGGTGGCATGCACGTGCGCCAGCGTATAATGAAATTCCAGTTTGACGGATCGTGAGGCGAGGGTTTCGCGTTCGTATTTTGGCTTTGACGTCTTACAATAAAGTGAGCGGCGGCGGCGACGGTGGCGGCGGCACGTTTAAAATGCATTCTGTTCTCTCGCTCGCCGGCTATGCAAAGTGCGCGACCTACTTACCGATCGCACCTCCACGCAACGGAGGCTACTACGAATTGGCGCAGTTTGCTTTGCGCGGGCTATCACCGGCGTGCGCCGAGTCGCCCTTTCGTCGACGCGCGAGCGCGCGAACGAGACGAGATACCACGGGGAAACCAGTGCGCTCGAGGATGTTCTTCGAAAGCCGCACAAAACCGGTTACGCAGCGTGCGTCTCGCGGGAAACTTGCGCTCGAGAGGGAAACGGATTGGCTATGGCCTGTTTTGAGGAACAAAAGAGGAACAGGGAGAAAAGTCGTTTTATATCGCAAAACAAAAGGCGCGGACGAACATAGGCGGTCCATAAGAAATTTACGCGAGAAACCCATAAGCGCGCGTGCAAAAGTTGTGCCGCGTGTGCCAGACGTATTGTGCGAACCGGGAGAGAACAAAACGCTCCGCGAGCGCGAGTTTGAGAAAGTACGGCGCCGTTAGCTGCTGCCGCGGAGAAGTTGCACGCGCTCGCGGAGAAGCGTGGGGGGGGGGGGTGTCTTGGCTTTTTATTGATTTTAATGGATTCTGATGGAGAGCTGCTGCGAACTTTCGTGTTTTATATCTTTTTAGCTGGTAATTTCCGACCATTACTTTCTGCCAGATGGTTATTTGACTACTGCGAGCTTTCGACATTAGCCGTAATAGATCTTTCCCAGCTTTTGTCGTGCTCGTAGAATAATCCCGAAACGCTCACATCAGCACGACGAAATGCCAACGTCTTTTCGTGCGAGAATGTGCCGAGCATCTTGGAAAAAAATGAGTGGGAAAAAGCAAGGGAAATCCCGCAGATATGAGTAATATCCAGCAGCAACACAGAACCCCCGTCATTTTTCATCGTTGACGACAACGACAGCGAGGACTCGATACACATCGATTTCTCGACTTTTTCGCGCAGCCCGTCGAATTTTGGCTGCGCCAGCAGCAGTAGCGAGCCTATAACAAGACTTCGCGCGAACGAAACTTTAGCTTGCAACAACTATCGTCTTAAATCTTGGGAGAGCCGCGCGGCAAGTTCCGAGTTTTCATTATGAGAGAACTTGCGGCGCTCGCGCTCTCGGCTCTTATCTGCCAGGCAGGCTTTTATCCTCCTCTTCTTGCGCCGCTTGATTTATCTATTTCCTAAATTGGTTTTGATACTATTGTTGTGCGTTTCGACCAGTGTGGATTTCGCGCGATATACTTATACTTAGCTGTAGTTGCTATCTCATTCGATGCTGTATAAACATTATATTTGTTGGTAGGCTGTCAAGAACGACTTGGACTTTTTATTTATGAAATTATGAAGTCAGTCTTCAGTGACTTGTTTATCACCTTGAGTTTAATCATAGAAAAGAACTTTCCAAATGAAATTTAATTTGATATTGTCATAGAAAATCAAAAGAAATCAACCGATCAGTGCACATTTGCAATAGCATCGTAAATTTTTCATGAGTTCAATTCTAAAATTATTCAAGTGCATTTGCCACAACTTTATTTACGAACTTCTTCGTACTCGTCGCTTTCATCGCGCACAAGCTTGAATTGTCTGCTTACTTAATGGACTTTAGATGCTGTTATTTTGCCGATATCACGCTAAATATTTCAGATACTTAATGAGCCACAAAAACCAATCGATGTTGTCTCAGCGCGGCATTACGTAGATCGCCAAAACACCTTGCTTAAGTCTGTCATAAACGTAGAAACAGCTGTGTGCAAATCGTACGGGCGTAAGTGTGTCGCGTCATATCTCGCGCCGATATCACTTTAATTGCGTCTTCGTCAATCAAGCAAAACGTTACGAGACTGAATCACTCTCTTTCTCTCACTCCCTCCCCCGGCCGTATCTTTGATAAATGGTCAGCTCTTTGATGCGTTTGCGCGCGGGGATGAAAGAGAAGGAAAAAAGGAACGAAGCGAAAAATTCATCGCCGTGCGAGCCCGCCATTGTGACCAGCAGGGCAGGGCTATTTCACGGGGCACTACACGCCTGACGCGGCGCTCTCTCTTATCCGTGACTAGGACGCTTTTCGAGCTCACCCCCCTTCGACCCCTCCACCCTACCAATACTGCCGAGTTTGCAGTTTTTTCCTTGATGGCTCGTTTTACGCTCTCGCCTGCGCGACGACCCGAATTTTTCAGTGCTTCTCTCATGGGCCATTCGTGTGCTCCGACGAGATGGGCTTCGCTCCTTCGCGGACGCGCTCGGAGCGGAAAATATCCGGCGCTGCGATAATTGCCGCCGGCAGATCGCCCAGCCAGCCAGCGAAATCGATCGGCGATCGCGAAGGGTTCGCGCGAGGGGGCCAGCCCCGACGGGCCCGAGGCCTTCGGTCGCTTCGACGCCGCGTTAATTGGCAAATGCACCGCGCGCGAACAGCAGCGGAAACACCCCACGGGCACTGCGACAGCCTCTCCTTCGACGCTGCGGGCTTTTACGCGGATTCAGATCGTTTCGCAGCCGAAATTCATGGTCCACTCGGCGCTTCTCGAATCACTCCCGCGAGCGGCTAACTTTGCATAACCAGCCGCCGAATAGATAAAATATCGCTGCCGCGAATCGGCAAAAGTCTCGCGACCATTCGATCGTCCGCGCTCGCTTGGCGTTAATCATTCAGTCCCGCTTTGATGATAATCATCCCTCGAGCGCGTTGCGCAACGGTTGGTCGCTCGTGAAAACCGTCATGCGTGACGCACGACAAAAGGAGTTCCACATTTTCGTGGAAAAGCGCTCGGCACGTGGGTTCCGAGTGTCGACACACTTGTGCCAACATCACGAGCGCCCGGGGGAAAATCGCATAAAGTTTAGAACGTTTCACGCGGCCACGCGGTTAGTCAGAATGCGTGCGTCGCTCGTGCTCGTTATCGCCTCGTTGTTCCATCGGCGCGAGTCTCTGGCACGCGGTGAGAGTCAGAGAGTCACTTGCTCCGATATCGGACATAACCCTGCCGGTTGGTTAGCCAAACATTTCAGCTCGGACACTACGAAAGCTTTCGACCTCAAGTTCTACATCTCGACAAATTGGAAGAAGGAACCAGTGCAAATTGACACCAACGACTGGTCTCAGCTGGCGTCCAGTGGCTTCGATACGTCGTCGAAAACGTTTATTATTATTCACGGGTACTTCTCTGGAGGACAACAGCCATGGGTTTTGGAGCTAAAAAATGTACTTCTCGACAGGGTGAGTATGCTCGTAATTGAAGGTCGCGACTACTGATTTACGTTTCGTATACCTCCCAAACGTAAAATTCGACAGATGCCAGCCGATGACGTTTGTTGCTCATAAAAAAGTTTCCTCATTCATACCAAAATATTTACTTTTGAAAATTCATCACTCGTTTCAGACATATGGCAATGTAATTATGGTAGACTGGAGTGGCGGAAGCAACAAGAAGAATTATGTCAACGCTGCTAAAAATACAATTGTCACTTCCAATCATATATTAAAGTAAGTCACGTCCTCACTACAAAAAAAATTTATTGCAACACGAAGATATACTAAACACATTATTCAGGCTAATAGCAAAAATACTACTAGCTTTTTACAGAGACTGCAGTGTCAAATTCAATATCTGAAGAGGTCACCGGGCAAGATGCTCTTCAATCATTTGCACTTGATTGGACATAGTCTAGGCGCACATGTGTGTGGGCAAACAGGTCATTTACTGAAGAACGATAATTTTTGGAAGGTGGATAGAATCACAGGCTTGGATCCGGCCAAACCATGTTTCACTAATGTTGAAATAAATTTGCGAATCGATAAGGAAAATGCAGATTTCGTTGATATTATTCATACGCAGATTGGACGTGGATTTACCCATGCTCTGGGCTTGAATGACGCTGTGGGTAAGCGTTACTTCAGCACAATATTTTGTCGGGAAGTTGAAAACATAATTGCCGGTATTTTACAGGACACATTGATTTTTATATGAATGGTGGTTACCTGCAGCCTGAATGTCAAGGTAAATGTTACTATGAAGCGTTATTTAACTTTCTCAATTCACCTGGTCATTGATTTCAGGTAAAACTTTTGGTTATAATGAGATGATATGCAGCCACAGACTCGCAACCAAATATTTCATCGAATCGGTACGCTACGGGGAAAATTGCACGTTCCCAGCTCAGCGATGGGATGGCACCTATACGGACGCCCAAGTCCTCATTAGTTTTTTTAAAAAAGGATGGGACTGCAACTCATGTCCGAAATTAGGACTAGATGCTGTGAATAGCTCGATACAAGGAGTTTTTTTGGTACTGACCGGCACGCATCAACCTTATTGCAGTAAGAACGACTTTTTGTAAAAATAGTATTGCGATATTGAATTAGTTTATGACCTCTCGTATCATTGTCTTTAGGATTTAATGCTGACATAGATCTTCAAAATATAATACCTGGTATTACGGTAAGTCCGTTTTTTTTAGTATTTCCCTGTTAGGTTTTGACAATATGTTCAATGCACTTTGCAAATTATTTTTCAGAAATTAAGAGAATGCAGATCCATCTTCGATTGTAAAAAAAATGTAAAACTATCATACTTACCCAGCGTGTTTCCATTGTAAATATTACAGACATAACAACCAATGGAGTAAATGTGTTCCTAAATAAATTAATTATAACCACATGGAAAAAAATTGTATTCGGTCTACACTCGTTAGTAAAACTATCAGCACTTTTATCGAGCGTGTGAAATCCTCGGAAAAGCGTGAATATTACATCTATATACAATGCAACTCGCAGAAGCGTTAAGGTATATATTATATAGAGAAGGTAAAACTTGCAGAACGGAATAATGGGATTCCCGAGAGCGCATAATCCTTCGGATACATCTAAGCTGCAAATTAATTTTCAGTTCAGTATGTAGCTTCCCCCTTGCCTTAGTTGTCATCGTGCTACGCGTGGTGCTTTTTGGCTTGACGAGCTTTGAGCTCGCGAGCACACGCACATGCACATACGGCTTAATTGGTCGATCTTGAAAGTTTTCGTGTATACACACACACACGCGCGCGCGCGCTAGCTTGCCAAAGTTTAAATGGCTCGGCGGAATGTGTTGAGTGGCAAAAGTGAATGAAATTGTATCGGCAAGTTGAATAAGTTACGAGTTGCAGTTTCGTGAAAAAGTCTAATATCGCGTACGACATATCGCGTGAAATGTACGTATTGTAAGCCAAGCGCGATTCTCAGCCAATTAGCTCGGATTAATAAGTTAATTTTTCAAGTAAATTCAGTTGAAACGCGTAGCCAGGAGGAATTTCTGCCGTTGAGGAGAGCGAACTTTCGGAGAAAATGCATCTCTCTCTCAAGAACTATACTTCGGGGGAAACTCTCTCTCTCTCCCTCTTCCTCTTGGATGAAACTGCTATTTCGAAAGGAGTAAGGGAAATGTTTAACAACAAGTTGCACTGAGTGAGTCCGTGCGTTGTCCATGGAAACTGTAGCCCGTTTGGGCCATTTCCCAAATACTTAATTCGGAAGTTTCAAGTTTATGAGCGTCCCCCCGGTTCCTTGCCGCTAAGCTGCGCCGACACAAAGACTATCATTGCGATTATGTACACGCCCTTGAGCTTTCTACGTTTCGTTGACTGCGTTAGTCATTGCTCTGACATTGCCAAGACTCGCGCGTTACCGTTTTAGTAGGCAGCCTTTTTTTTACCCAGGGAAGCTGTGAGTAAACCCCGAAATTGTCTCGAGCACGGGCGATAAAGCCGTGAAATTCAGAGAAAGGATCTGCACGAAAAGCTCCTTTAAATTTGTCGTCGGTGTGCACACACATGCGCTCCCGTGGGGATCTCTCATTCTCTCTCCGCCGTATTTTCGCTTGCTTACGCCCGACAAACCGAATCGCCGAGTAGCCTTAGAATCGATCCATTTTCCGCGCTACCGAGGACTAACTCTCTTGTGGTGTCGCCTCGGATAGAATGAGCTATCGCCGTTGCCGGCTTGAGTTATTTCTACGAGAGATCCGCAATGGTTCCGTCGGACTTTGACTATTCGTTGCGCTCGACTCTCGTTGTTGGAAGCCGTGACGATAGCCAAAATTTATGACAAAAGGCAACCGCTTTCGTCGATTTTGATTTTTCACGCGCGTCTACGTTTCACGACTGCGCAAATATCGTGAAAATCCCCGGGCGATTCGAACAATAAACGCGAAAAGGAAAAAAAAGCACCAAAGTCAGCCGTACGAGAACCGTGCGTGAGTCATGTCCGGTAGCAGGTAGGAAGTCATTGTAAATCACACGGCTGCTGCGATGAGTTACAAGCGGATCCCGCCTACTCCCAGCTTTCTCTATATTGCTCTCTGTGCGGCATTGTGCGCGGGTTTCGACCCTCTTGCCGCTGCAGCGGCTCTCCACTTGTTTTATTGAGCTGCCCTAATCACTCGCTCATTGTGTTTTGCCAGCGCTGAATTTACATGTCGAGAGGGCTGCCGTGACGAGTTTATAACAGTAGGGCTTTTTGTCGTTATGCCAGATATATAGTTGGGAATGCACACGGTTTCATACTTGCCGGAGCTTCGCGAGATTCAACCACTCTGATGCGAGCGCGGTTCAAACGGCAGATCAACTTCTTTGCTGGCACTTAAAACTCAGGTTTCATTTCAGACACTAATGTCAACCATTATTTTCAATATCGCGACAAATAAATTGACTGTCCAGCACGATAATGAAAACAAATAAATCAAGGCTAATCTAGCCGAAAACGGCGAACTCTTCATCAGTTTTTTTTTTTTCTTTTTTTTTTCTTCAGATGAGAAAGTTCATCTCTCCGACAGGTGCGCGAGATGTACGATCACGCGAAACTTGAGTTTTATTTTCTTTCCAGTAGAGCGCCATTAGACGTGCGTATCTATATATTTTCTTTCAACGCGAAGCTAAAGATCCTTGGCCAAGGGTTCTCGCGGATTTACGGTCTCGCACATCCCCCGGATTTCTCGCGCGGTGGCCAAAGCGAGAGACGTGAGATTTTACTCGATTTATAGCTTCCACACGCCCGTTGCCGCTTGTTTCTGCTGGTGTACCCGTTTGTTGCTTACTTTGCTTGGCTCACGCGCTAATGTTTATCGGAATCGCGAGTTCCTCGAGAGGAAGGAATTGGGATTTCCACCGGTTTTTTTTTTGGTTCTTCTCTCGTTTGCTCGATCGCTCGATAATCGTTCGGTCGAACATGTCGTCGATTGGTTTATAGCTTCGAATGTAACGTCACTCGTCAGAAAAACAGAAAGAAAGAGTTGTAGGACTTTTATATGTAACAGTTCGGAGTTCGGTTGATATTAACTATTGCGACATATGTATGTTAAGTCCTCTGTTTAATATTGTAACCGCCAGGCCAACGCTTTAAGAATTATATTTTTAGAAGTATCTCGTGCACGAAACTTTGATTTTTCAGCAAATATAATGGCGCAATTTTGTACTGCACGAAAAAATGCTGAGAAGGAAAGAAGATCGAACGATCAAACAAACCTTTCAGAACAGCAGCTCTCAACAAAAGAAATCTTGGTATCTGCGCAAGCTTAGGATTCCAGCAATAATCACGCGGAATTTTCAGCGTGACGAAACGTAGCATTGCTACCTGGACAAAGAAGAAAGCTCGGTAATGGAATTAGAGGATAACGAGGGCACTTTTCTCGATTAGACGCTCGTGTAGGGGCTGGTGGTAAGACCCTTTCTCGGTCTCTCTCTCTCTCTCTCTCTCTCTCTATGAACATGCAAGCTTATGTTAATTTCGCCTTGCCTTGACGTCTTTCTCAGCAGGTGCACTCTCTTATTTTACATCGCGCGATACCTTCGAAAGGATTCGCCAAAGTTACGTTGTCGCTAAGGTTGAGATCCGAGCTGGATGATTTTGTTATAAAAATAATTGAGTTGACAGCTGAAAAGTAGAATGCCCGCTTCCGCTCCTCTCGGATTTCATTCGCAACGCGGCAAAGCTTTTCAAGATAATGCCACTTGTAGGTAAAGTAACGATAGCAATGATAATAACCGTGAGGATATACTTCTTTAATGAATCTCAATGGGATAAAGAGCGCGAGGCTCTGCATAAAAAGATCTGGCAAAGTAGACACCGGCGTGCACGGATAAAAATGGTAATTACGATATAAAATCATCCCTCTCTTGCTTTTCCTCCGAACGAGGAGAATAAATGTGTACCGAGCTCGGGGAGACGAAAAAGAGAAAAGGCCGACAGTAACGCCAACGGAGGCGGAAGCAGAGTCACTAGCGAGTTATGAGCCTTTCGGTTGTGGCTTAAGAGACGCCTCCGTAAATGGAGATCAGCTTGGAATTTGTAAATAAAACTAAGCGAGGCCGTATACTCCCGCCCCTCCCCCGCCCCCATTTCTTTCCTTTAAAGCGACAGCTCAACCGAACGAGATTCAATTGTCTATTAGATTGTTTCAAGCTTCGCGAAAATGTATCGCTGACAATTAAAGGCCGCTCCTCCGCGCTCGCTCTCCTTGCATAAATTAGCGCAGTGGGGGAGAATGCGATTTATGCCAGAGCTGGCGCGCAGCGTGTCGCGTCTTCAATAATGAAAAGGTTTATCACGCGAGCGAAAGAGAGACGACGACGACGTCGACGAGCAAATAATTGACGATGAAATAAGCTTGCGAAATGCGAGGTTAGGAAATTTCATTTCGAGTGATGGGTCTTTGAATGAAAAATTCAAGTTTATCTTTGAGTAAAGAAGGAAAATGATAAAACGAAGGTTGCAGTAGTGCAAAGATAAAAAACTAAATTTATTCGTAAATCAACTAGATACCGAGTGATTTCGGGATTTTATTGGTAATCATCTCAAAAGGTTCTTAACGAATACGACTACAGCTTATTATTATCTAAATTCCATAAGTCTGCTTACGTTCAGACCAATCTCACTCACAAATTATAAAACTTACTATTATATTTCATTTATTTCTTTGAATGTTAAGTTGAAGATTGGAACGGATTGCAGAAAACAGTATTTCAATTTATAATTTATAAACAGTTTAAAACTGAATGAGAAAAATTGATTCTTCGAAAAATATCGGAAGCTACATATCCTGTATCGGCTTACCACATCCTAAATAATTTCAAATAAATTACTTACTTATCAATATATTTCTCTTCTTATATTTTACTCGCATCACAAACTGCAACTGAAATGACGTAGGAAAAAGTTAAAAGTGCAATACCTTTTATAAAAGTTAACAGAAACTGTGGAATACGTTCTTTGACATCAAACAGCGCGATATCGCGATAAGCAAAGCGAAACTGAAAATTGAGAAAATGAAGAAAATTGAGTACTTCAAAAGTCTCCTCAGATACTTAGCTTGATGTCTTCTCTACTAGTCGGTCTGTCAAATTGTTATCGATTTCTCGAACGCTTTGCGTCGACTCAGTCTTAAAATTATTCGTAAGAATTATACGTGTACAAGATAGATGGTACGCCTCATGAAATTTCTATTGAGAAAAGTTCTAGAACTGTTTGATTCTCTTAACGTTGAATAAAGACAAAGTACGTCTAGCCAGTCGAACGACGCTAGCCTTTTTTTTTGATGATTCTTAAAGTAATAGACAAAAAAGTGTAAAAGTAGCTAACACAATTTTATGGCTCGCCAAAATAACCAGATAGGAGTTATCTATTTGT